TCATCTCAAGGTGAAGGGGATGGAGGCCAGTTATGTACTGCCTTTACTAACTGGGCCTAGTGTTGCCTAAGAAAAGAGCATGCTAAGCTATGAGAGAGGAGGCTACTGAGCCAACAGCTTTTCTCTCCTGGGACCTAGAAATAGGATGTATTCCAAACATAATTAAGTATGAAAATTGCTTTGAAAATTGTAGGTTAACTTATTGAAGTAGTTTAAGTGAAAGAGGTGTATATACTCCTTTGCAAGTGCACTTTCAAAAAAAGTTATTTTGGATGGAAATTATTTTTTCATTTTCATTTTTTGTTCATCTTTACCCTTACATTCCCAAACATCCACAGAAAAATTAAAACCTGGGTGGGCGCTGATGGTTCGTGACTATAATCCTGTTACTCAAGAGGCTGAGATCTAACAATCAAGGTTCAAAGCAGCCTGGGAAGGAAAGTCTATAGATACTTAGCTCCAATTAATAACCAGCAAAAAGGCAGAAATATGTGGATCAAGTGTTAGTGTGACAGCTTTGAGCAAAAACGCTAAGCCCAAGTACCCACACCAAAAAAAAAAAAAAAAAAACAGAAAAGCTCATGGGGCTCATGCCTGTATTTTCAACATAGGCCTAATCTAATCACAGGAGAGATTAAAGCATGGAAATAACATGCCCCATGGCTGCTTCTGAGATGAAGCGAACTATGTACAAGAGCCAGACAGCTGATTGGGATGAAGACTCCAGGAAGTACCTCCAGTGTGGAGGTTTGGGGATGTTGTAAGCACATTTCTCTTAGCCAGATTAGAGGAAATTCCAATTGAGGAAAAGGTAAGAGCTACAAGAAGAAAAAGACCACTGAAAGGTTGTCATAACAGTATTTGATCCTAGCTACTCAGGAGGCTGAGAGCTGAGGATCACCATTCAAAGCCTGCCTGGGCAGGAAAGTCCGTGAGACTCTTATCTCCAATAAACCACCAGAAAATTGGAAGTGGCACTGTAGCACAAGTGGAAGAGCACTTACTTGCCTTGAGCTGAAGAGCTCAGAGACAGGGCCTAGGCCCAGAGTTCAAGCCCCACATCCTACAGAGAAACAACAATAACAAAAATCAGTACTTAAGCCTGGCTCTCAAACCTGTAATCCCAGCTACTCAGGATTCACAGTTGGAAGCCAGCCATCCCAGACAAATCTGAGATATTTTCTTTTTTTTTTTTTTTTGGGTCCGGTCATGGGGCCTGAACTCTGTGCCTGGGCGCTGTCCTTCAGCTCTTCAGCTTAAGGCTAGCGCTCTACCACTTGAGCCACAGCGCCACTTCCGGCTTTTTTCTTTTTGCTTATGTGGTGCTGAGGAATCAAACCCAGGGCCTCAGGCATGCAAGGCAAGCACTCTACCACTGAGCCATCTTCCCAGCCCAAATCTGAGATATTTTCATCTCCAGTAAAAAGTCGGAAGTTAAGCCCAGTGTAGGTGGCTCATGCTTGTAATCCTAGCTACTCAGAAGGCTGAGATTTAAGGATGGAGGTTTAAAGCTAGCCTCTGCAGAAAGAGACTTTTATCTCCAAGTAACCACCAAAACACTGGAAGTGGAGTTATGATTCTTGTAAAAGGGAGCCAGCTTTGAGTGAAGAAGCTATCAGTGCCCAGAGTTCAAACATGAGTTCCAAAAGTTTTCTTTCACAAGAAAGCACATGGGACAGAAGAAATCTGAAACTACTCAGAACCTCATGCTCTGGATTGGCTTTTTTAACTCAAGGCTGATGCTCTGCCACTTGAGCCACAACTCCACTTCTGACTTTTCAGATGTTTAACTGGAGATTAAGAATCTCCATAGAATCCTAGCTACTCAGGAGGCTGAGATCTGAGGATCATGGTTCATACCAGCCTGGGCAAGAAACTCCGTGAGACTCTTATCTCCAATAAACCACTAGAAAACCAGAACTGGAGCTGTGGCTCCAGCGGTAGAGCTTTTGCCTTGAGCTGAAGAGTGCAGGGACAGCACCCAAGCCCAGAGTTCAAACCCCAAACTGACAAAAAAAAAAAAGAATCTCCATAAACTTTGGGCTAGGAATGTGGCTTAGTGGTAAAGTGCTTGCCTAGCATGCATGGAGCCCTGGGTATTATTTCCCAGTACCCCATAAACAGAAAAAGTGGAAGTGACTCTGTAGTTCAAGTGGTAGAGTGCTAGCCTTGAGCAAAAGAAGCTCAGGGACAGTGCCCAGACCCTGAGTTCAAGCCCCAGGACTGGCAAAAAAAAAAAAAAAAAAGAATCTCCATAGACTTAACCTGCCTGGGCTGGCTCTGAACTGTGATTCTCAGGTCTCAGCCTTCCTGGATAGCTAGGATTACAGGTATAAGCCACCAGGGCTTCACTTTGTAAGATGAAAGAGATGTTTAACATTTGTATTTGTCTGCCTAGACTGTGGAACAGAATGCCATAATTGCCCTCTTAAATGTATGATCTCATTCTAGCCCAGCTCTGCAGGCTGCATGCCCAGGGTCAAGGTGTCCTTGGACTTGGCTTCTGATCAGAATTTTCTTCTTGTCTTCAGGTGCTGCCTTCCTTCTGTATCTCCCTCTGGACTTCCACACTCCTTATAAGGACAGCAGTTAAATTAGAGACCCACCCTTACAACTTCATCTGTCCGTAATTTTTATTTTTTTGGGGGGTGGGTAGTGAGTTGGAGATAAGAGTCTCACAGAGCTGGACACTTGTGGCTCATGCCTATAATCTTAGCTACTCAGGAGGCTGAAATCTTAGGATCGTGGTTCAAAGCCAGCCCAGGCAGGAAAGTCCCTGAGAATCTTTTTTTTTTGGGGGGTCCGGTCATGGGGCCTGAACTCTGGGCCTGGGTGCTGTCCCTCAGCTCTTCAGCTCAAGGCTAGCACTCTACCACTTGAGCCACAGTGCCACTTCTGGCTTTTTTCTTTTTGCTTATGTGGTGCTGAAGAATTAAACCCAGGGCCTCAGGCATGCAAGGCAAATGCTCTACCACTGAGCCACCTTCCCAGCTTCCCTGAGAATCTTATCACCAATAAACTACTCAGAAAAAACTGAAAGTAGTGCTGGGGCTCAAGTGGTAGAACACTAGCCTTGGGCACAGAGAGGCTTAGGACAGAGCCCAGGCACTGAGTTCAAGCCCCAGGACCAGAAAAAAAAAAAGAGTCTCATGGACTTCCCAGCCAGATTTCAACTTCAGACCTCTGTTCTCAGCCTCCTGAGTAGCTACAATTGCAGGCATGAGCCACCAGCACCCAGCAATTTTTACTTTCTTAGACTGCATTTCCCAGTAGTCTTAACAGACAAATTTGGATCCTTATCTGTAGTCACTGATAAACAATAGATAATTTTAATTTGTGATGCCATCTTCATGCATAAACCTCAGTGTCTTACTATCTTTAATTCAGATTTGTTGCATCATAAAGATTTTGCTTTTGGAAAATGTGATTTCTTATCACCCACATGATCTTCTAGTTACTTACAATGCATACATAACATTTGAGTATTTGGGTACATGAATGAACTCTCTGGTTTTGTCTCTCTTTTTTTTTTTTTTGGGTCCGATCGTGGGGCCTGAACTCTGGGCCCTGGGCATTGTCCCTCAGCTCTTCAGCTCAAGGCTAGCGCTCTACCACTTGAGTCACAGCACCACTTCCGGCTTTTTTTTCTTTTTGCTTATGTGGTGCTGGGGAATCGAACTCAGGGCCTCATGCATGCAAGGCAAGCGCTCTACCACTGAGCCAACCTTCCCAGCCCCAGTTTTGTCTTTTTTTGAGGTACTCCATACATATAGCCTAGGTGGGACTTAGACTCACAACTCTCTTGCCTCAGCCTCCTACCTGGCTGCCACAGTTCCTCTTAAGTAACTCATAGTCCTACTAGACCTAGAAATTCAGGAGATTGCTATTTTCAAAAAAAAAAAACTTGCTTGGCTGGGGATATGGCTTAGTGGTAAAGTGCTTTCCTAGCATGCATGAAAAACTGGATTCAATTACTTAGTACCACATACACAGAAAAAGCCAGAAGTGGCACTGTGACTCAAGTGGTAGAGTGCTAGCCTTGAGCAAAAGCAGCTCAGGGACAGTGCCCAGGCCCTGAGTCCAAATCCCAGGACTGACCAAAAAACAAAACAAAAGAAAACCTAAAATCTTGTTTATAAAAGGAGAGAGAAAGAGAGAGAGAGAAGAGAGAGAAACTAAGTTCTAAGGTATAGGAGGCACCCACTATAAGATAAACATGTTTTATGTTTGACAAAGATGGCCTTTGTCAAATAGCCGTGGTGGGACATTGATTTGATTTTGTGCCAGTACTAGGGCTAGAACTCAGGGCCTCCCAATCTTTTTTTTTTTTTGTCGGTCGTCTGGGTCTGGGCGCTGTCCCTCAGCTCTTCAGCTCAGGCTAGCCCTCTACCACTTGAGCCACAGCACCATTTCCGGTTTTCTCGTGGTTTCCTGGAGATGAGTTTCATGGACTTTCTTGCCCCGGCTGGCTTTGAACCGCGATCCTCAGATCTCGGCCTCCTGAGTAACTAGGATTACAGGCGTGAGCCACCGACGCCCGGCAGCCACCCAAGCTTGCTTGGCGTTTTTGGTCCAAAGCTGGTACTGTATCACTTGAGCCACACCTCCAACTTTTGGCTGGTTAACTGGAGATAAATAAGAGTCTCTTGGGTTTGTTTTCTTGGGCTGGTTTGGAACCAGTCTTATCTCAGCCGTCTTAGTAACGAGGATTACAGGCCTGAGCCACCCACACTCAGCTCAGTAGGCCTCTTTTACCTGCCACCCACACTTGAGACTACAGCAGTACCAAAACCCGTAGAAAACTCACCACCTAACATAAAGGAATACCGACGCCTCACTCGCGAGAACTTAGCTGATACATGCTGACATCCACACTGAAAGGTGAGTGCAACCACAGCACTTCCAAAGAACGGTGGGCAGCTCCCGGAGCCCCCAGCAGGGGCGGTGGGCGTGGCTCCCCGGGCCCCGCCCCTGGATCTTCTCCGCCTGCGCGACGGAAGCGGTCGAACAGAGCTGCTACATCCGGGCGACTGGCAGCCTCCGGTTGTTTTCTTGGCTGAAGTGGGGGAAAGTGAGGCGAACCCGGCAGCCGCGACCGTGGGTCCGGATCTACTGCACCGGCCCGGCCGCACGTAAGTGGCCGCGGTGGGGAGCGATTGGACCCGGGGCTCTCCGGCGGGTTGGCGACGGCGGCGAGGGCAGCTGCACGGGCGGGCTGAACCCTTCCTGACCACTTCCTACTGC